CCTCCCTTACTCCTTCTCTTCTCCCTCTGCCTTACTCCTTCTCTTCTCCCTCCTCCCTTTCTCATTTTTCTTTTCTTCTCCCTTCTCCCTTTCTCTTTTTTCTTTTCTTCTCCCTTCTCCCTTTCTCTCTTTTCTTTTCTTCTCCCTTCTCCCTTTCTCTCTTTTCTTTTCTTCTCCCCTTTCCTTTTCTTTCTTTTCTTCTCCCTTTTGTCTCTACGTATTTGGGTATTCTCCCCCATTCTCCATCTTCCCCTTTTCCTCATCTCCCTTCCCTCTTCGGATGTTTATCTTCCTTTTTCTCAATTTTTCGGTTCTTCCCATTTATTTCTTTTGACATTTCCCCTCCTTCCTACTTTATTTTCCACTCTTTCCCTCATCCATATCCTCCCAACTTTTTTTTGCCCCTCCTTCTCCTTCTTCGTACCATCCGTTTCTCTCCTTCCCTCCTCCCCCTTCTACCTTCTTCTCCCTCTTTTTCTATTGCCTCTCTTCCTCTCCCTCCCCCTCCTTCCAGTCTTCTCCTCTCCCTCTCCCTCTCCCTCCTTCCAGTCTTCTCCTCTCCCTCTCCCTCTCCCTCCTTCCAGTCTTCTCCTCTCCCTCTCACTCTTCCTCCTTCCAGTCTTCTCCTCCCTCCCCCTCCACCCCTCCTCCCCTCCTCTCCTTCTACCGTTCCTTCTTTCTCCACTACCTCTCTCCCCCCCCTTCCCACGCCCCCCCCCTCCTCCTCCTCCCCCTTACCCAGCACAGAGCCAAGTAAGACAACAAATATCAGGTTTTGGCATCCAGCACCCTAGGGGATACCGGAAGAGATTTAGGAAAAAGAAAATTGTTTGTGTCAGATACCCGCTTTTGCAACATATTCTGCGAGTGGATTTACTGTCTTGCAACGGGCTAGAAAAACAACTCAGGAGGTTGGCATACTGCAATAGGATGAAAATAAAACAGAACGACACAATTGATATCTGGAAAATCTATATTGTTCGTACTCTGCAACAGTAGAAATACCAGTTGCATGTAAAATGAACTGCCTCGTCGTGTAAGATAAAGTCCAATATATAATTCAAAAGGCACACGATTTTTAGAGTGTATTCATACAACCTTGAACTTTTTAGAATACGATAATATTGGTGACCTTTACAGCTAAAAGTAACATTGGGTTTGATGATATGATCTGTAAGAGTATCAGGAAAGGAGAAGGAAAGAGGTGAGAGAGAGAGAGAGAGAGAGAGAGAGAGAGAGAGAGAGAGAGAGAGGGGGGGGGAGAGAGACAGACAGAGAGAGAAAGAGAGAGGGAGAGAGACAGACAGAGAGACAAAAACAAACAAACAAACAAAAAAAACATAAACAGACAAACAGACAGACAAAACAGAAAAAAAATAAAGAAAATAAACGAACTATTAGACCAACAGGCCATCACACACATACAAACAGACTACAAACCAAACCTACCATTAGACAAACCAACTCATTCATTTACTTCATTACCAAGAAAACGAACAGCAAAAACCAATGCAGATTCACCTTGCTGGTAATTCGCTGAGACCAGGTGAAGCGAAGCAATGAGCGTGACTCTGGCCAGATATCCCCTCATGGCCAGGCGTCTCTTGAGATATCTTTAAGGAGAGAAAGAAAAGAGATAGATAATGGATTAATTATTGATTGGAGATGAGATGAATGATTGGATAGATTAATGACGAATGTGATATTGTGAGGAAGTAAATAATTGAGGAGGAAGGTGGGATAGATGACTATGTAAATGAAGGAGTTTGTGGCAACGTATGACATCTTCTGTAATTAAGAAAAAAGGACAGTTGCTAATTCGTCGTTTCCTCCTTTCCTTCCTGTCCCCTTCCTCCCCTCCCCCCACCTCTTCTTCCTCCTCTTTCTTAGACTTTGATTTTTTTTTGTTTAATTTTTTTTTTCTCTTTTCGTACTTTCAGCTGCTTCTTGGAAAGTATCAAGGGATCCATTTGTTTCTAAGACGTATTAGGAACATGTTTTAGGTAATTACACGCACACGTACAGACATATACATACGCCACACACACACACACACACACACACACACATACATGCCCACACACACACACATACCCTCTCCCTATATACACATTCGACACATACTTACTCGTATACGATACACACATGATCTGTTCCGTGTATATATACGTACATAGTTTTATATGCGCACATGTCGAGAATCTAACCTTCATATTGATCTTCTACTTAAATGTTATCGAGACTCCAGTTAGTCAAATACTCACTGAAAACAACGATACATTTTCTAAACGTCAATTGCAGGGGATACTTTTTCATTTTTTATAGTGTACATGTTGCACCCCGGTTGATTAGTGTTAGTTATTTCCGTATGCTAACAAATGAGTTAAGTTTAAGTAGAAAATATTAACTCTATATGCTTAAAATACTTGCCAAGTTACTGAATCTACTTAAAATGTGAGTAAGTATGCACATTAAAAATTAATGAAAAAAGATCTAAACA